CGACCGCCCGGGAATCCATCCCCTGCCCGGGAATCCGCCCGCTCCCGCAGCCGGGCAGGGCATGGCACCGGCACCTGGGGATGGGATCGGCACCTGGGGATGGTGTTGGGACCTGGGGATGGCATTGGTGGAACCAGAGCCAGGAGGTTTGGGATGGCATCGGCACCTTGGGATGGCATTGGAACCTTGAGATGGCATCAGCACCCTGGGATGACAGTGGAACAACCAGAGATGGGAGGGGAGGGATGGCATTGGTACCTTGGGAGGGCATTGGCACCTTGGGAGGGCATTGGCACCTTGGGATGGCATTGGCACAACAGGAGCTGGAAAGCTTGGGATGGCATTGGCATCTTGAGATGGGATCGGCATCTTGGGATGGCATTGCCAGAACCAGAGCCAGGAGATTTGGGATGTTATCGGCCCCTTGGGATGGCACCAGCACAGCCTCTCGGCTGCCTGGGATCATGCCCAGAGCTCCCATCTTTCCCCGGGAACGTGGGAAAACAGCCCTGTTGTGGTCCCTGCCCCGGGCTGAGCCTCCCCGGTGCGATAGGCGATTCCCAGCTCCCTCCCACGGGAATGATTCACCTTCGGAAGTGGAGATGGGGGTGAAGGATCGCAGGCCAGGAGCCGCAGGAGCCACGCGTGACTCAGCCCACAGGAACGGCTGGAATGTGTCCCTGCCCCGGGAAGGCCACACAGGTCTGACAGGTCCAGGCGCTCTCCGGAACTCCTTTGGGAAGCAGAGGAAGGCCCTGGAGCGATCGGATGTTCCCAGGCACTCGCAGATCCCTGAGATCTTACACAGCTCACACCTGCGTTTCCCAAGGGAGACAAACTGGGAGGGGAAGGTTGGGATCTGCTCCTGATCCTGGCGAGGTCACGGCACAGCCACTGCTGCCAGACCCTAAACCACTCCAAAGCTCAGAGTTTGGCTCATTATGGAGCTGGGAAGAGCCAGCAATGACCCTCTGGCAGACAGGGAGTCCAGGAATTTGGTGTCCCCCACCTCGGTGTCCCTGCTCTGGGCAGTGGTGGGAACCAGAGACCTCACCTGTACATTGGAATGCTGTGCATTCCAATGGATCCACGAGCTGTGCCAGGGGACCCTCACACAGAAGGTGACAGGCTGGTGGCACCACGAGGGTCCCCTGCATGGATGAGATGGGAATGGGAAGAGGAGCTGCTGTGCCAGCCCATTCCATCCCTACCCCCTAGATCCCTTTTAAGGATCAAGTGTGACCCCACAGGGCCCCGAGGCCGAGGGGACTCTGCAGGGGACACGTCCCGGCTGAGCCACCAGGGTGGGGATGGGAATCAGGATGAAACACAAACATTCCATGGGAAGAGCCCAGGAGAGACCCAGACTTTGCTCCGGTGGCAACACTGAGCAGATTCTGCACTGCTGCCAAACAAACCCCGACGCTGGGCCAGGGCCAGGGCTGGAAAATTTCGAGTGCCAGGAGCAGCGCGGGCACAGCCGGGAGTCACTGGGGCTGCAGGGACAAACCCTGGGATGATGCCACCAGCTCTGCCCTCCAGGCATTCCGATGGATCCAGGAGACAGGGCTGGAGCAAGGAGGGGAATTTGGGCAGGGAGCAGGGCATTAGTTTTCTGGGGGTTGCTGCTATTTTGGGGTTGTGTTGCAACGTTGTCCTGAGCGGTGACTTTGTGTCTTGGCCAGGTGACGGCACCCAGGGGTTTCGCAAGAGGGAAAACACCCCCTGCATGTCTGTGCCAGCTCCTCACCCTCATTTCCCCATCGTGGAAAAGGCACCAGGAGCCTTCAGCCCCTCAGGATGGACCAGAGCTGAGTGAGCCCGGAGTTCTCCAGGGACATGGAGCCGTGGCCTCTCTGACGTGCGCCTTGGTTCGTGTGAGCACATTGGAAAATCCTTGGCAGCCCCAAAACCCTAGGAATTAATAAAAGACAAGGTAATAATGGCAATAACAATCAGTTATGATAATGAAATAATAATGAGAATAATCATGATAAAAATTCATCCCTTTCTTCTCCCATCACACCAAGAAACTCAAAACCAAAGCTCTCCACATCTGTCAGGGCTCTGTGCCGGTTCCCAAGGCTCCAGACCTGCTCAGATCCCAGTGCCAACCCCCTGGCTCCGTCGGAATTCCACTGTGGCCTCCCCATTGCCCCTCACCCCCTGATATCTAAACCCAGTGAAAAGAACCAGGAGCACAAAATTCCACCAGAGCATCACAAAGGCTGCTGACGTCAGGGAGGAGGAAGGCTCTGGGCCAGGAGAAGGGAAGCTGTGTTTGGAAAATGACAATTTCTGTCTCGGAAAGGCGGCTGTGAAAGGAGCCCTTCTCCGGGAGCCGGCGCCGAACAAGAAAAGCCTTTGAACGGCGGGGAAGCGGCTCGGCCAGGGGCCAACCCGCCAAAAATCCATCAGGAGCCTGGCTCCGGAGCTGGGAGACATCCTGGCACGGCTCATGGTCCAGGGGAGATCCTGTGGCTTGGGAAGCAGGAAGACATCCCAGCACGGCCGGTGGTGCCAGGGGGATCCTGCACCAATCCTGCACCAATCCCGCTGTGCTGGTGTCCCACCAGCATCCATTGGGATGGGGACGGCACCAAGGTCAAGGTGCCAATCTCTTGATCCGTGTGCCAGCAGCTCTGTGGAGAGAACAGGAGAGAAATATAAAAGAAAGAGGATAAAAATCCCTATTTTCCCACCCACTCCTTTGGCCAGGGATTTTTGAAGGTTCATCTTGCATCCACAGGCACCCACTGCACTAGGACACCCAGGGAAAACAATTTCCTTCTAAAATCCAGTTCCTTCTTCCTATTAAAATCCCATTTCTTCTCAGTCGGACATCACAGATGTCCTTGGGTGATCTTCGTCACATCCCAGCTCCATAAATCCCAAATGCTCCCAAATCAGGGATTCTGCCCTCCCAGGCTCCCCCAGTATGTGGGTCCTTTGTTTGATTGAGAACACGGGGCTGAGAGGAAATGGCCTCAGGTTGTGCCAGGGGAGGTTCAGGTTGGATATTGGGGAAATTCCTTCATGGAAAGGGCTGCCCAGCCTTGGGCAGGGGTGGAGTCCCTATCCCTGGGGAGATTTAACATCCCTGTGGATGTGGCACTTGGGGACATGGATTAGTGGTGACCTCAGAGGGCTTTTCCAACCTTCATGATTCCATGATCCTCAGTGATTCCCTGGGCAACCTGTTCCAGGGCTGGACAGCCCTTTCCCTGAAGGAAGAGGTGGCAGCTCCAGCCGGGAGGATGGTGCCATCTCCTGGCATCCTCAGGCTTCTCCCACTGCATCCACAGGATCCAGGATGCTCCAATCTGTGAAACTGAGGCCTGGAGCAATGGAGCACCTGGAGTTGCAGAGTGTCCCTGGGAACCCTCCTGTGATGGAGCCCAACCAGCCCACCTACCCCCAGCATTCCGTCCCCTGCTTCCACGCAAATCCCTGTGGGATCCCTGGCTCTCAGCAGACATCAGAGGAGAGGGGAACCACCAGCCATTTGGGATCAGGCTCCAAGGGGGCAGTTCTGCCTTAGTTAAATCCCAAAACAAGCTATTTTGGATCTCTGAAGCCGACCCCTCCATGTGTATTCCTGTTTGCATCCATGTCGGGGAAGAAACCCTCATCTTCCTCCAACCCCACCTCGCCAGGGGTTCACAGCTCCACAGCTGAACTGGGACAAATGATAAAAAAATCAAGGGGTTTGGTTCAGGCTGAAATAAAATCAGCAGCTTCTGGCTTTTCAGGGAAGGGAAAATTCCACCTGGAGCTGCAGGTCAGTGGGGAGTGGCTTTAACATCACACCCAGGTCTGCCCTTGAACTCCCCCTGTTCTCCTTCAGGGCTGTTTCCAAGGAAAAGTCTGCTCTCTAAACAGAGTGCCCCTCTCCAGAAATCCTGCTGAAACACTGGAGTGCTTCCTAAATGCACATTTCTAACTGTCAGGTGGGAATGTTTTGACATTTGTCATTATTCCCCCTCATCAGCCAGGAGGATTTGCTGAATTAATGGGCAGGGACACCATGATGGGGCAGGTTTTACCACCTCAGTTGTTTTTTTTTTATCCTGGAAAGGGATAATATTCCTGTATTACAGGAAGTCCTGAGGAGTCCTCACTGTGTGAGCCTGGAAAGGCAAAGCCTCATTTTTGTCCCTTTTTACAGGGAATCAGAGAAAAAACCACAACAAGAGTCAACCCAAAACACAGCGGGGCCTGGTGCCACTTTCCCAGGAGCAGCTCCATGTGCAGATGGCTGGAAAGGAAGGGTTTGTTCAGGCAGAGCAGTTTGGGAACCTCCCACACCTGGAGGGACACACTTGTGCTGATCCTCCCACCCACGGCTCGGGGTTATCACGTTCCATGGGGGTGTGAAGGATCTGAACACACAGAGAGTTGAAAAAAGCCACCTCAAACATCCCCAGGAATGGAGATGCTCATTCCTGAGGCCGGGAAGGCTTCAAAGAGAGACCCCTCCCGCTGGAAAGAAAGGGAGGTGCTGGGAAGACACAGGTGGGATAAACAAAGGGATGCAAATGTGCTCCTCAGGTGGCTGGAAGCTCTGGGATTCTGGTATCTTCCCTGCTCACAATCCTAATTTATTAAGGTTGTAGATCCCAGACCTGCCCCAGGACTTTTTATTTTTTTTAATTTTATTTTTATTTTCTATATTTGTATTATTTAGTCTTTATTGTATTTTTTCTTTCATTTTTTTTCTCTTTTATTTTCCTCTGGATTAGGCGGGTGAGGGAACACCTCTGAAGGGGGGGGGGATTTCTCCCTGTCTCACGTCACCGTCTTCCTCTCGATTTAAACCCTTTAAACGCCGCTAAAGGGAGTGTGTGTGTCCCTCAGTTTGATCCTTCATAAAGAAAGAAGGGTCTCGCCTCAAGTTAAACGCCGAAAAAGGTGTAAAAGGGTGAGTTTCGCTCAGTTTAAGGCGCTCCGGGGCCGGGCCGGCTGTGACGACACGGCCGGAAGCGCCTCCCTGAGGCGGCTCCGCGGAGCTGCCGGAGCTGCGGCCGCGAGGGCCGAGACCGGTCCCGGCCCCGGTCCCGATCCTGAACCCCATCCCGATCCTGAACCCCATCCCCGTCCCCTCGGGGCCGCTCCCGGTGCCGGCCATGAGCAAGCGGAAAGCCCCCCAGGAGAGCCCCAACGAGGGCATCACCGACTTCCTCATGGGTAGGTGCCGCCTGCCCGCCCGGTGTGTGTGTCCGTCTGTCTGTCTGTGTGTGTCCGTCTGTCTGTGTCTGTGTGTGTCTGTGTGTGGGTGGGTTGGGATATGTGTGTCTGTGTGTTGGTATGTCTGCGTGTGTGTGGGTAGGTTGGTGTGTGTGGGTGTGTCTGTGTGTAGGTGTCTGTGTGTGTCTGTGTAGGTGTGGGTGGGTTGGGGTATGTGTGTCTGTGTGTGTGTGTGTCTGTGCGTTGGTGTGTGTTGGAGTGTATGTGTGTGTCTGTGTTGGTGTGTGTGTCCGTGTCGGGGCTCTCACCACTCTCCTCCCGCAGAACTGGCCAACTACGAGCGCAACGTGAACCGGGCCATCCACAAGTACAACGCCTACAGGTACAGCCCCCCCGGCCCCGCCGCGGCCCCCGCGCCCCCCGGCCCGGGCACTGACCGGCACTTTCCGCAGGAAGGCGGCCTCGGTGATCGCCCGGTACCCCAGCAAGATCCGCAGCGGCGCCGAGGCCAAGAAGCTGGTAGGGATTTTGGTGCCTGGGGTGCCCGCGGGGGGACCCGGGGCTCAGGGGCAGGGTGGCCGCTGTGGGGGTTTCACAGAATCCCAGGATCAGCCGGGTTGGAAAAGATCTCTGAGATCATCGAGTCGAACCTGTAACTCCTGTCAGGGAGTTGTGTTATAGCCTGGAATTCCTGTGCTCCTTTGTGGTCCCGTATTTTGTCGTGGTCTTGGGAGGCCCATAGTTCTTTCTGGGACTCTAAATTCTAGGGAGCTTTCTTTTCTTCCCAAATATAATGACTTTAAGTGATTTTTGAAGGTAACTTGTTTGTCCTCGCCCCCCAATATTTAGGATGGAGTAGGTGCTAAGATTGCTGAGAAGATAGATGAGTTCTTATCCACTGGAAAACTACGCAAATTGGAAAAGGTGGGTTTCTTTCCCTTGTGCTCTGTTTCTCAATAGTTGCTTTCCTTTGGAACTTGCAAAGTAGCCTGCTTGCTTTGCACAGTTTCTGTTCTTGTCCCTGGAGAGATTGAGGTCAGTCTTAAGAATGGTGAACATAGGGTGTATGGTAAGTAGAAATTTGTGGTGAGCCTCCAAAGCAGAGTCTGACTAAGCTGTTTTATCTTCTCAGAGGGCTTTTTGTTTATTGCAAAAGGAGTAAAGGAGGAATTGGCTTGTGTTGTGTTGTTTTGGTAGATTCGACAAGATGATACCAGTGCTTCTATCAATTTCCTGACACGAGTTACTGGCATTGGGTAACAATTGTTTTGTTTTGTTTAGAACCCTTGAGGCTGAGGGTGGGTGATGCAATCATTCTCAGTTCTGAGAAAAACTGTGCACAAAGGTTGAGGATATACTGGGATTTGAGAATGCCTTTGAGGAATTGGGATGGGACGCAGAAGGAGAAGGTTGGGTGTTGTCCTGTCTCAGGACAGCGGAAGTTGCCTCTCTTGAGGCTCCAGCTGGAAGCATGCACTGAAAATGCCTAATGCTGAGAAGAGGGTAAGCATCACAAGTGCCCTCAGACTCGGCCTTTAAGAACCCAGCCAGTTACGGTGCATTGGGATGTCCTGTTCAGTGTTGTAAGATTCTTGCCGTTCCTGATGCCAGATTGACTTGTCTCTTTGCAGTCCTGCTGCTGCTAGGAAGTTTGTCGAGGAAGGAATTAAGACTTTAGAAGGTAAGTGTAGATTTAGGGCCTCAGTTCGCACTCCAGTGACGTGTCATTGTTTTTCTGTCTGCTGCCTCTCCCAAAGGGTTCTGTGATAGCAAATGTGCCCGAGGCTGTGAGGAAGGTGTGGAAGGTGCTGAAGTTAGTACAGAGGCTTAAGGCATTATATACATATCCAAAATAAAGTCCTTGCAGGTTACGTGGAAGATATCGAGGATTTGGGCTCTTCAGTAGCCTGCTAAGTCTTTATTGGGAAGTGCTCTGTGCATTTGTGGTCATCCTGTCAGCTGCTGCATAGTCAGTTTAACACTCCTTCCCTTGAGCTTGTTGTGTTCTCCTCACGTATTCTTTGTGTGCATCATTTTTGCATTGCTGAAAACTTACTGTAATATTTTGAGTCCTAAGGTAACTTTTTTTTTTTCCCTTAATTGTTCTAGATCTCAGAAAAAATGAGCACAAGCTGACCCACCACCAGCGAATTGGACTGAAGTAAGCTTCCTTGGCTTTTCTAATGGCTCCTCCAGACACCAGGATGGAATGTATGATATACTGCTCCCACCTCATAGCAGCTCTTCATGTGCAGTGGAAATAATGAAACCATCTTCTAAGCGTTGTCAGACTTGCAGTTTTGAGGTTTTACTCTCCCCTTGGTGGGAGTTGGGAGCTTTCTGTGATGTGACAGTAACATAAGTTGTATTCTTTCCTCTGATACACATTTAATTGACTAAAAATTTAAGATGCTACCTCTGGCACTCTTTGAGATACTTTTATTTTTATATATGCAGATATTTTGAAGATTTTGAGAAAAGAATCCCAAGGGAAGAAATGCTGCAAATGCAGGTAAGAATGTCTTTGTTGAGGATGTGAGGTACTGATGGCCAGTGAATGACTGACACCTCCCAACACACATCTTTCCTTTTTACACAGGAAATTGTGCTGAAAGAGGTAAAGAAGCTGGACCCAAACTATATTGCTACGGTCTGTGGCAGTTTTAGACGAGGTTGGTACTCTCTGATCTTGTTATGTTTATTTTGGGATAATAAGCAAGACCCTTTACTGTGTGTGGTGTTCTTCCAGAGACAGTCTGTACCAGAACCTGACCTTCTCCTCTTGGTATTGTCTTGATGGGTCAGTTCAGTGATGAGGCAGCCACGTGAACCCTTGCTTCTGCCCCCATAAAGAGTAGTATGTTCTAATGTGAATTGTTTGCTTTTGCATGATCAACATTTGCCCTTCATTGCCAGAGAGTACAGCAGGAAATTCTGGGGCATTTTCTGAGGTATGGGGGATAGAAACTTTTTGGTGGAAGAACAAGGTTCTCTTTTTTTTTTTTTTTTACAAATATTCTTGAACAGTGACTCTACTAGAAAAACACGTTTATAGGAAAAGGTTAGATGGATGTTCACCATTGTCAGTGCACTTTGTCATGCACAGAGAGGTTTTTCTGTGCTTTTCCCTGGCCCAGGTGCAGAGTCAAGTGGTGATATGGATGTTCTCCTGACCCATCCGAGCTTCACATCCCAGTCCTCCAAACAGGTGTGTTTGCAGCTGCTGTCAGTGCTGGGCTTTCCTTCCACCAGGGTGTGTTCAAATTCAGAAGAGATGTAGTCTCAGACTTGTACTGCAGCTTTTTGCATCTTCTCATTACTGTAATTTTAATCTCCTCTCTTGGATCACCATGTTTAATTTGAGGAGTTATAATCACTTATATTTTTTTCCCCCAGGGTTAAATCTCGTGTAGAATAATACATATATTTATGGTGATGTCCTGTACTTATGTGAGCCACCATCTAGTATAAATAGGTAAGATATTCTTGTTACCTGTGAACTGATTTCTGTTGTGTTGTCATTGTTCCTAGTCAAAACTTCTGCATCAAGTTGTGGAACAACTGGAAAAAGTCCACTTTGTCACAGATATGCTGTCTAAAGGTGACACCAAATTCATGGTAAGGGCTTCTTTGGTGGTGAGGGATGTTGTGGTGGGATTACCTTTCCTGACAGAAGCTGGGATACATACAGGATACATTCTTTAGACTGCTGGAATTGTGATTTTATTTTATTTTATTTTTAATTCTCCCCCTTGCCTCCCATAAAAACTTCCTACAGTTAGCTCTTAGGGAATCTCTTACAGTAAGATCTCAGTATTAGAAAGTATACAGATATTTCTGTAGCTCTGACACCCTGCACCACACCAGGTCAGTTGTGTCTCTGGTTTGGTGGGTATTTCCCCAGAACTTCAGCACAACCTCCCTCCTTCAGCAGCACCAGTGACTCCTTTCCTAACTCTGTCCTCGAGACCTTGGTAACACTTGTCTTTGCTCTCGGACCTGTGTTCCCCTGATTTTGTCCAATACACAACACACTTTGGTCTCCTTTTTTTTGTGAGTTTTGCTGCAGAACAGATTTAATGGGTAAGAAGCCAGACTCAGGATATAATAGGGATTATGTTGGATGCCTAAAGCAAGAAGTCAATTACAGGAACATTAGTTTTCTTAGATCCCTTGCCCACAACGCAGCTTTTCCTTTTCTTTTTTAACTTAAATATTGCATGAAGATTAAAAAGCAGTTTGAACTGAAAAGAGGCAGAAGATTTCTCAAGAAAAAACTTCCTTTACCCCCCCAGTTTCTAATGATTTACTGTACTGAGATATCCAGCTGTTCCAGTGAAATATGTAATCAGTTCAGCTGGAATTTAACTTTGCTTTCCAGATAACTGAGGATTGTTTAGGGGGGTTTTAAGGGTGGGGTGGTAAAGATTGATCTCAAATCTGTTTAGTTTCATTTGGATTTCTTGCTTGCCTTACTTCCTCCCAGGGTGTCTGTCAGCTGCCAGAGAAAGAAGATGGCACAGCCTATCCCCACAGGAGAATTGATATCAGGTAATGCACCCAAAAAAACCAGCCAGACCCCCAGTGCAGCTGTCTGTGCAGAGCAGGCATTTACATCCACTTCTGCAGTCAGATCTCTCCTTCCATTGTCAGAACATGGCATTTACTGGGTGTCTAATTCCTTTGCACTGAGGAAGCCACTGTACAACTGCCAGTATCTACAACAGGTTATTAGCAATAATGCTGTATTTTAAATCATGACATTCTATCCAGGTTCAGAATTGTGTCCTGTTTTATTATCCTGCTTTGACATTAATTCTTGGCAGGAGTGCAAGCACCATAACCAGGTAGTGGCTGAACACCAGTAACTTCGGGGTCAGGTAGATGTGCTGAACCTTTCTTTGATATTTAGTTCATTTCATTCTTGCATCTGGCTCTTGGGGAAAATCAAATGTACAGAGTTGCAGGATGTGTGGACATAAACAGAAAGCAGACCCACAGCAGTGTCTGAAGGGCTGAATTTCAAGTGGCTTGTAGCTTTTTTGTTATATATTTGGTCTAAGTCTGCACTTCTGCTTTTTCCTCTAGGCTTATCCCCAAGGACCAGTATTACTGTGGTGTGCTGTACTTCACAGGGAGTGATATATTCAATAAGAACATGAGAGCTCATGCCCTGGAGATGGGCTTCACCATCAATGAGTACACCATCCGTCGCTTGGGTGTCACTGGTCAGTCTGGGGCTCTGCACAGTGTTCCTCTGCTCACATGCTGGGTGTGATCTTCTCTGGGTGGTTTGCAAATAGCTCTGATAAACACTGTTTTTACAGTGTCCTTTTTGGTGTTGGGCACCATTACAGCAAGAAGAGGCAGCCTGCTTATGTACAGGCAGTGCTGTGGCACAAAGTTACCTCTTTGGACTGCCTAATCTTCTTAAAGTCTTACTGGTGTAAAGATTGTTTTTTCTGTGTCAAGCACAGCACATATAAGGGGTTTCCCACTCTTTTCACAGGATATGCCACGTCCTTCAGTTGTTTTGTTTTGGAGGGGAGGTGACTATACACACGCACACGACTATAAATGTATTTAACTGCACAACCACGTGGCCCAAAGTTCATTCATTACCTTATTTCCTTTGACACTAATAGGAATAATCACCTACACACTGTATGAAAAGGCCAGGGGAGCAGTGAGGGTTATTCTGGGTGGTTTTTTAAGTCTGCCTTACTTACAGCAGTTTTGTCTTCATCTTGCAATGCATTTGGCTTGTCTGGATGGCACAGACCATCCCCCTTCCAAACAGCATCTGTAATTCACTTGCAGGAGTTGCTGGAGAGGCCCTGCCCGTGGAATGTGAAGAAGACATCTTTGACTACATCCAGTGGAAGTACCGGGAGCCAAAGGACCGCAGTGAATAACTGTCTGGGTAGCCTGGAGAGATGTTTCATAGCTTCTTATGAAGTGCATAGTCTTACTTTGGTTGTTACTGCAAAAACTGTGTGTTACTGATGTTTAAAGCAAGTCCATGGCACTAGTACAGAACATGTAGTGAAGATCAAATCCTGCAAGATGTCATGGAATAGTTTGGGTTGGAAGGGACCTTTAAGTGTCTTCTAGTCCAACCCCCTGCAATGAGCAGGGACATCTCCAACTAAATCAGGTTTCTTAGAGCCCAGTCCAGTCTGGCCTTGAATGTTTCCAGGGTTGGGGCATCCAGCTCCTCTCTTTGTATCTTATGTACGTGTAGCCACAGAATGAGAAAGCGAGCTGTGTCCTGAAGTACTCCTAAAGATACCATTTTCAACTGCTATTTATATCTCCTTATCTCTGGGTTAAGCATCTTGAAGCTCCTGATGAGCAGTTTCCTTCTAAACCCGTTCAGTATGGGCTGTACTCTGATGTGACCATTCTCCTGCTGTGTGGGACTGGGTTTTGTTACCAGGGGTGTTGTATTCCTGTCCACTGCAGTGCTCTGTACTTTGTTCACTTTGTTCAGCTTGGTCTGAGGAATCGATGCATTTCCACCACTCCTGTAGATTCAGTCTGCTCTTTTTTATGTGCAAACCTGTCAGATCTTATTTTATGCCTCCTCTTTAACTGTTGAGGAAGGTAAGGACTGGTTTGGATATGAGGTCTCATCAAGAATGCATTGCTAGCTGTATTTGGGACAAAGATTCTTTATTGTCAGACAACCTGACCTGAATCATAAAACAAAGATGGATGTAATACTATTTCTTATTTTTATCTGACTTAAGCTTACAGAACAACTACATTTTTACTTGTTCTTATACAATGAGTGTTGATCAGTCTTAGTAATGGAGATTATAGGCTGGTACTCCTGATTATATCTTTATTTTCTTCTGTTATTCATATTGGGAGTTTTAATAATTTTTCTGGGAATGTTCCCCAGCAGTAATGCATGTAAGGTAACTAGAAGTTAACTTGGTGCTATGTGAAGTCTTCTGATGCCTCATAGTAAAAATATTTAGTATTTTCTTCAATGATCAGTGGGAATAAAGAAATTGAATATTCCATCATGAATGTGCAATCCGGTTTTGTTATTATTTATTAGCTACAATTTTAAGAGATCACGAAGCAGTAACACAGGTATTTCCTGGGCAGCACATAGCATTACACTGATGTCTTCTCCATCCTCTTCCACAGGCAGCCCAGCTTTGTCCGGGGCCTCGAGGCAGAACTCGCTGGCTTTGCAGTCCCTCTCTGTAACGCTGTGAATTCTTCTATATGAAAAAAAAAACCCACAAAAGGCTTGTTCAGAGTGCTTGCTTGTTTGTTTTCTTTGAACTACGTATACAGTGTGCCCTTCTTTTTCGTCTTCTCTCCCCGCACTCCCCACCTCACTGGCTCTCCTCTGGGCTTTACTGGACTGCAGGTCCCCGGTGCTCGGGGAGGCCGCGGCTGCGAGCCCTGGGCAGGCTGTGAGGGGCAGAGCTGTGAGCCCTGGGCAGGCTGTGAGCCCTGGGCAGGCTGTGAGGGGCAGAGCTGGGCTCCTGTGGGCACACAGACTCCGCTGCTGTGCCCGCTGGCACTGGGCCTTGTCAGCAGCACTGGCCGCACCGTCCTGGCAGTGTTTGCCAAGGACTTGCTTCAGTTCGGCTCCTTCCTCCACCTCAGGGCCGTGGTGGCCCTTCCTGAGGGCTTTGCTGAGCAGCAGTTCAGGGAATCACAGAACCACGGAATCACCGAGGCTGGAAACGACCTCTGAGCTCACCGAGTCCATCCAGCCTGTGACCCGAGAGCCCCGTGTCACCCAGCCCAGGTCCCGAGCGGGGAGGGCAGCGGGTGGAGGGGTTGCTGAGGGGTTTGTGAGGGGACCCTCAGCTCCCGCTCGGGGCCGCGCTCGGGGCCGCGCTCCCGCGGGAGGGGGGCGGGCGCGCGCGCGGGGCAGGGCCGGGGCCGGGGCGCGTGCGCAGCGGCGGCCCCGCGCATGCGCAGGGGGGGCGCCGAGAGCCGCACCGGAGGCAGCGCGGGCGGCAGGTACCGGCGGGGCCGGGCCGGGACCGGGACAGGGGCCGGGGCCGGGGCCGGGCACGGGGCGAGGGCGGGCCGCGTCCCGCGGCGCTGTCCGGCCGGGCCCGGCGGTGTCCTGCGGGCCTCCCCGGGGCCTCCCCGGACGTCCCCCGAGTCACCTTGCGGAGGGGCCGCGGGCCGCTCGCTCAGCGCCCTCAGCCCCGCGGGCCGCCCGGGGCGGGCCCGTCCCTGCGGCCCGGGCGCGGGGGTCCCGCCGGCGGTTGTCCCGGCCGGGAGGGCCGGGCCGGGGGGCGCGGGCAGGGCCCGGAGCCGTTACCGGTTGCGTAACGAGGCAGCGCCGGGGCGGGGGCGGCGCTCGCGCCCCCGGGGCCGCCGCCGAAAGGTGCGTGAGGGCGGTCACGGGCCGGGCCCCGCCGCGCCCCTCGGAACCGGCGCCGCGGCCTGAGGGCGCTTCTGCTTCTTGTGCGCGTTACGGGGTTTTTACAGTTACTCCACAGCCTCTTGTGTCTCCTCGCCCGCTTCGCACCGCGTTTTGCGGGTCGTTGTCATCGCGTCTGGTTGATGGAGACCAGGGTTAAGAGTTGTGAAACTCTGAGCTCTGTTCCTCCAGACGATTTTTAGAGCTGTTTTTTATTAGCAAAGAATTTATGTATTTCAGTATGAGTTAACGTCGAGAATCCCTTTTTTTTTTTTTAGTACCGTTTAAATACTTGCATAAAACTTAACATACACATTTAAACACGTAGAATACAGAAAATGTAGCTGTGTGCTGTAAAGAGAGGAGACATGTTAGGAGAGTGAACAGGCTCACAATTTTCAAGATGTCTCAATAGCCTTGTGAAAATGAAGTGTAAACTGAACAGATTGTCCCCCAAAAGGGTGAGATTTAGATGAAGCAGGTGCTGGACAGGATGGTAAAGTCCTCCTTTGCTGGAAGTATTTTCAGTGAAGCTGGTGTGGAGAGCCCCAAGACTGAAAGAGGCAGGGGGGTGACATGTTTTCAGAAGCTGGGGTAGGGGGGTTTCTGGTGTCGGGTGTTGCAGAGAAGAATATGAACAAATGCATCAGAAGTAGGAATGACAAAGAATTACCCTTGAAACCAAAAGGAAGGAGCATCTCTGATAGCTTTTCTCTCCTGAAGCAGGTGTGCCTTCACAGTTATGCAAACTTAATCTAGAAGGGCAAGACTAATTTTCCACTGGGGAAGAGTTTTCCTATTCGTTTACTGTGGATTTTCTGATGCAAAATCCCTGAATTATGGTAACTAAAATGAATATATCACGTGAGCTGTAATATCATGTGCCTGCCCTTTTGAGTTTTGCCCTCCAAAGTGGTTGTACCAGGGACCCATATTAGAAAATGTAGGTTTTGCTGCTGTGTGTGCACAGTGCAGAGATACAGATGGTTACTGGACAGTGCACAGAGATCTCTGTGTCTTACACATCTCTGAAAAAGCTTTCTAGGAAGTCACAAGTGCAGATGGAAGTGAGATCTTTTCCTTTGGGATTGCTCAGTGCTGACCTTGCTTTGCCCTTTGGGGTCCCTTTCGGAAAGGGTCCTGCCAGGAAAGCAGTGTTTGCTCGTTATCAGAACAGTGATAAGGCTCCCATGAGCTCTTTCTGCAGTGGAAGAATGTGAGGCTGACGTTGGTGGATGTAATAGCTGGGTTCAGAGTTCCCAAGTAATGGATTGGCTTTGGGAACTTCCTTGGATTGGAGCTTGTTTGTGACACAGCAACAGTGACACAAGGAGGACTTCTGACAGTTCCTTGTCAGTGAAGTACTGCTGGTCATAGATTTGTAAATGCTTTGGATGTAGTTTGGATTTGATGCTGTTACATTAAGATTCTTACAGCTCCCCGTATGTTTCAGATCCAATGGCTGTACCACCGACGTACAGTGACTTGGGAAAGTCTGCCAGGGATGTGTTCAACAAGGGCTATGGTAAGTGAGATGGTTGTGGTTTGATGACCTTTCCTGTTTTTTTCTTAGGCATCTTGAAAATGCCAATAGAAACATTAGTACCTCAGAGATCCCCTAATAGCTCGTGGCAGGAATTCAGGAGAGGCTTGGAGCATGTGGCACCTTCTGCATCTGAACTTTGGGCATGTGTCATGAAAATGCTGCAGTGGCAAAGAGTTAGAGGGGAAATTTAGGAGTTTGACCTTAAGATGCACTCCAGAACAGTCTCTGGAAAATGCTCCACCCTTTTACCTTCCAGTTTTTGTGTTTGGAGGCATTAAATCGGTGACAGTGATGTAGGCTGCCATAGGAGGCTGTATGTGGCAGTAAACAGGTTCCTGAGGTAGAGTGACCTTTCTGTTAATCAGAGCAGCTGACTGGTACAGCTAGAGATATTGTCACAATATTTGCATTCGTCCCTTCTTGGGAACAGTACTAACAGTGTTGATGTTTTTTAATCTGGTTTTGTGTGTGATAAAGATTGCATTTGTATCCCAAATCCATATGCTACATAAAACTAAAAAGCACTGTGGTCTGGTCTCTGCCACCCTGGAGTTGAGGCTTTGCTAAAATTCAGCTCAAGATCCCTGCTTTAGTCTCAGTTATTTGGGGCTTAGTGTACCCTACCCGTGGTACTTTGGGTGTGCTGGAAACAAGCCTTGCTTGTGTATTGTAAAACAGGCCCTGTGTGCTGTTCTGTTTTCAGGATTTGGAATGGTCAAGTTGGAGTTGAAGACCAAGTCTACCAGTGGGGTGGTAAGTACTGGGGGCTTTCCACCTCACCAGCATGGCAGTGGAGGGACAGACCCCTGAGCTGGTTGGTGGCAGCAACTTGCTGGCAGGTGTTGCCTCCCTCTTTCATTTCTCATTTTAAAACTTGTAGCTGACTCAGATGTTTCTGAGCTGACGTGGCAGTGCTGCTTCTGTGGCCTGCAAGAATTCTCATTCCTCCCTGTTCCCATTGATATGTCCCAGACAGGAGTTTCTTCACCTTACACAGCTCTCATTTCTGCTTAGGAATACATTTGAGTTTCCCTGCTGCTGTTGGTTTTCGTAGGATTTTGAGTCTGGAAGGACTTTTATCCAAAAGGCCAAGTGGCACATAAGCACCACAGTTTAACTTAACTTCATTTTCACTCCTTTTCACTATGGTTACACTTCAAGACTTAATTAAAACTAAACAGTCCTTCTGCAGTACCTTTTATGTAGAATTTGAGGGCTTAATTAAACTTTAGCACTTCAAGCAACTAGAAAACGTTATGATCTGCACTTTAATGATGGAGAAGTGGAGCTTCCTCACGATTTCACAGGAGGCAAAACCAGGAATGGGCTTCGTAATTTTGATCTTTACCAGAGGCATATGTTGTTTACTAAATAATATTTTTCTTACACTGACTCTCAGTTCTGTGCATGCTCCCACTTGATGCTGTTCTGATTGATGAGATGGTGCTGCTTTTCAGCCTACTTCATAAACATGTTTGCCTTAGCTCCCTCCTTCTCTTGCATTCTTATCATGCAAATGGGGTAAGTGCTTCCTTTAGTACTGCTGTATTCTGGCCCAGTTATGCTCTGATGGGTTACTGCATTGTGCTCCAGGAACATGTAGGCCTGTGCTCTCTACACCCTGTGCTCTCTACACTACAGCTGCCTCCATTACTGACATCTCTTGATGTGCAGTTTTCCTGGCTGGAAGTTTTGATTCTCAAATAACATGCAAATAGTTAATTTTGCTGTCTTCGGAGTGTGATGGAACATGAACAACTGTAGTAAGTTCTAAAATGGGCTTTTTCTTTTCCATGCAATTTTCATTGGATGTTTATCCAGCTGGTAAGAATAGTGACTGTTTTGGCATGTTGGCTCTTCATTGCTTTGTCTTCCTTGTCTTCTGTGGTGCATACTGTCACTTGTGAACCATTCCATTGGGTGTAGTCAGTCCTGCTATCATCCACCTTGTGCAATTTAACTGTGTCCAGAGCTCTAAATCTGCTTTATCATCCATGTGTGTAAAGCCATTTGCAATCTTTGCCCAACAGTCCACAACAAGAACACTGTAAGAACAGCAGGGGGAAAACAGGATAGGTGTGGTATTGATAGAGTTGTCTGTTGCTTCAGATTTTGTGCTTGTTGGTGTTTCTGCTGAGCATTCTGCTGCAGCAAAGTGGGTATTTGGGGATGGAGCTGAGGTAGGGAACAGTGTGAGATCTAATTCCTGCATGGGTACTGATAGTACCTCTGGTTATTATGATACAGAAACATTTGGGTGTTTTCTGTGGACATAGAAAACAACAACAATAGTGTCTGTTGGTTATAACTGTTCCAGAGATTGCAAGTGGTTTTGCCTGCTGAGTGCATGGCACTGCTGAAGGTGCCACCATGAACTAGAAGGTCAGTGGGAAGCTGTGCTTGGCTGCTGACCCAGCTGGGTGTGACACAGAGCCAGAATGAGTCTGATTTTTCAGCTACAAAGAATTCCAGAAGTGCTCCTCCACGAGCTGCTCTGGGAGACGCTCTGGTGACACGGGCAGAGATTGATGGCAGCAGATGTTGGCTTGTGCCTTCTGCTTCCAGAAGCAGCTCTAGTTCCTGACACCTGACAGAATGCTTTGGCTTTGGATCATGTGACAGTGCAGGTTCTTTGCCTTTGGCTTTGAGACAAGTGTTTACAACCTTCCCTTTGCTTGATCTGAGAAACAAGCCAAGCCTTTTTAATTGGTTACCTGCTCTAAGCTCAGGAGAAAGTTCCTTCTGAATTCTGAGGCAGGGTCGAGGTGTCTTTACTGACTTTGTGAAAGTGGCATTAGAACACTGGGTAGCAGTGATGTCTGAAGGACAGTCCAACACATCCTGACTCTGTCACATGTCCCTGTTAGCTGGCTCCATGTGTGGTACAACTGCTGTGCTCTTGTAGTGCTGCATTAGCTTGAGTACCTGT